TATGGATTAACCTTGGTTTTAAGCAGCTCGTTTTTGGCTTCCTGAATCTGGGATTTTGGGTCTTGTGTTTCACTGTATTACCATGGACTCTTGTTTGATCATTGCCTAAAGGATTAGGCTTCATGTTTTTGCCTTTGGATCTTGGGAACTGTGTTTTTGCATTTAAGCCTTTGTCCTGCTTATGGAACATTTACATTTCTTATTCTATGTTTGACTTTGCTTTTTTTCTCAATAAAACTACATAATCTACAGCTCTGGTGTGGTGGTGTTTTGGAAGCAAGGTGAAACTACCCTGAGTTGCAACAATAACATCTCATTAGCATCTCATAGGTAGAATCAAGATCCAATGTCATCATCCGTTGTTCCATATTCCTATATTCATTACACTGCCTATTCAAATGCCTGCTCGAACAACCAGGTCTTCACTTTCCTCCAAAATGCTAATAGGGAGGGGACCAATCTAATTTCTGTAAGAAGGACGTTCCACAGCCGAGGGGCCACCACTGAGAAGGCCCTGTCTCTCGTCCTCGCCAGAGGTACTTGTGATGCAGACAGGACTGAGAACAGGGCCTCCCCAGATGATCTTAACATCCTAGCTGGTTCATAGGAGGAGATGCATTTGGACAGGTAAGTCGGGCCAGAACCGTTTAGGGCTTTATAGGCTAATCCCAGCACTTTGAATTGTGCCACTGGCAGCCAGTGGAGCTGGCGCAACAGAGGAGTTGTATGCTCCCTGAGCATTGCTCCTGTCAGTATCCTGGCTGCCAAACGTTGGACCATTTGAAGCTTCTGAACAGTCTTCAAAGGCAACCCCACGTAAAGAGTGTTGCAGTAGTCATTATGCATCTTATGCAGGTGAAGATGCAGTAGTCATTATGCACCTTATGCAGGTGAAGACGGTCTTGGGTGATTTTTTTCATTGGATCATTTGAAGCTTCCAGACAGTCTTCAAAGGCAACCCCACATAGAGAGCATTGCAGTAGTCATTATGCACCTTATGCAGGTGAAGATGGTCTTGGGTGATTTTTTTCATTGGACCATTTGAAGCTTCCAGACAGTCTTCAAAGGCAACCCCACGTAGAGAGTGTTGTAGTAGTCATTATGCACCTTATGCAGGTGAAGATGGTCTTGGGTGATTTTTTTATTGGACCATTTGAAGCTTCCAGACAGTCTTCAAAGGCAACCCCACGTAGAGAGTGTTGTAGTAGTCATTATGCACCTTATGCAGGTGAAGATGGTCTTGGGTGATTTTTTTCATTGGACCATTTGAAGCTTCCAGACAGTCTTCAAAGGCAACCCCACATAGAGAGCATTGCAGTAGTCATTATGCACCTTATGCAGGTGAAGATGGTCTTGGGTGATTTTTTTCATTGGACCATTTGAAGCTTCCAGACAGTCTTCAAAGGCAACCCCACGTAGAGAGCATTGCAGTAGTCATTATGCACCTTATGCAGGTGAAGATGGTCTTGGGTGATTTTTTTCATTGGACCATTTGAAGCTTCCAGACAGTCTTCAAAGGCAACCCCACGTAGAGAGCATTGCAGTAGTCATTATGCACCTTATGCAGGTGAAGATGGTCTTGGGTGATTTTTTTCATTGGACCATTTGAAGCTTCCAGACAGTCTTCAAAGGCAACCCCACATAGAGAGCATTGCAGTAGTCATTATGCACCTTATGCAGGTGAAGATGGTCTTGGGTGATTTTTTTCATTGGACCATTTGAAGCTTCCAGACAGTCTTCAAAGGCAACCCCACGTAGAGAGCATTGCAGTAGTCATTATGCACCTTATGCAGGTGAAGATGGTCTTGGGTGATTTTTTTCATTGGACCATTTGAAGCTTCCAGACAGTCTTCAAAGGCAACCCCACGTAGAGAGTGTTGTAGTAGTCATTATGCACCTTATGCAGGTGAAGATGGTCTTGGGTGATTTTTTTCATTGGACCATTTGAAGCTTCCAGACAGTCTTCAAAGGCAACCCCACGTAGAGAGCATTGCAGTAGTCATTATGCACCTTATGCAGGTGAAGATGGTCTTGGGTGATTTTTTTCATTGGACCATTTGAAGCTTCCAGACAGTCTTCAAAGGCAACCCCACATAGAGAGCATTGCAGTAGTCATTATGCACCTTATGCAGGTGAAGATGGTCTTGGGTGATTTTTTTCATTGGACCATTTGAAGCTTCCAGACAGTCTTCAAAGGCAACCCCACATAGAGAGCATTGCAGTAGTCATTATGCACCTTATGCAGGTGAAGATGGTCTTGGGTGATTTTTTTCATTGGACCATTTGAAGCTTCCAGACAGTCTTCAAAGGCAACCCCACGTAGAGAGTGTTGTAGTAGTCATTATGCACCTTATGCAGGTGAAGATGGTCTTGGGTGATTTTTTTCATTGGACCATTTGAAGCTTCCAGACAGTCTTCAAAGGCAACCCCACGTAGAGAGCGTTGCAGTAGTCATTATGCACCTTATGCAGGTGAAGATGGTCTTGGATGATTTTTTCCCACACTAATCTTGAAATTTTGGGCTAGGGAGTGAATGGTTACGTGACAATATTCCAAAATGGCGACCCCCACTCTGCTGTCCATCAACAGCAGAGTGGGACCACCCTGGAATTGGAGCTGTTTGCACTGAAGTCCAACCACACTGAAATTGACGGTGCCAGTTCTTGACTCCATCATACGATGGAGAATCTTCACCATCAACCTCTTTCATCTCATCGATTTGGTGTGCAGCCTTTCAAGTCAAGGAATTTGAGGAATGCTTTGTATTCCATTGGGTCCATTCTCAAACCTCACCCCACTTCGGCGCCTGTCAAATCAAGACCGTTCTCAGTTCTGAGTTGTACATTGGCACACAACCTATAGAGACTTATATCATTACACATGTGCAGTTTCAGTGACCTGTGATAAACAGAAGTGGGTCAGGAGAAATATTTAATGAACGCCCCTCGTATTCCTTATTATCCTGGGTTGCCCCACAGTCCCTTGAGGTTTTGAAGCCAAGCCCTGCATCACAATCCTGCTTTGATTGTCACCTAGGTCTCCATACTTTCCACCCCTCTTGTTGCTTGTTTAAGCACCTTTAAGTATCCCCCTATCCCCCTTTGCATTGCATATTTTCTACAAAGATACTAGTCACCCAGAACTACAATTATAACTTATTTTAAAATAAGACCAGACACTTATTTTGGCTGAGGATAACCAAAGAAAAGTCGAGAGATCCGGCAACCTGTACGAGAGCGCAAAGAGTTGTGTTACCTGGACTTTGCGAGGAACGGAAGACTTAAATCCAACCGCTGGCAGCAGAATGAGATTCGCCGTTGCATTTAAAAGTCAAAGGAAGACATGAGAACAACAAGGCATATCTCTCAGAGCAGTGTTTCTCAACCTTCCTAATGCCGCGACCCCTTAATACAGTTCCACATGTTGTGGTGACCCCCAACCGTAACATTATTTCCGCTGCTACTTCATAACTGTAATTTTGCCATTGTTATGAAGCGTAATGTAAATATCTGACATGCAGGATGGATTTTCATTCACTGGACCAAATTTGGCACAAATACCCAATACACTCACATTTGAATACTGGTGGGGTTGGGGGGGATTGATTTTGTCATTTGGGAATTGTAGTTGCAGGGATTTATAGTTCACTGGAAGGCTTTGGTGGGCATTGACCTTGAGTTTAGGAGTTGTAGTTCATCTACATCCAGAGAGCACTGTGGACTCAAACAAAGATGGGTCTGGACCAAACTTGGCACGAATCCTCAATGTGCTCAAATATGAACACTGGTGGAGTTTGGGGAAAATAGACCTTAACATTTGGGAGTTGTAGTTGATGGGATTTATAGTTCACCTACAATCAAAGAGCATTCTGAACTCTGCCAACATTGGAATTGAACCAAATTTGGCACGAAGAACTCCCATGATGAACAGAAAATACTGGACGGCTTTGGTGGGCATTGACCTTGAGTTTTGGAGTCGTAGTTCACCTACATCCAGAGTGCACTGTGGACTCAAACAATGATGGATATCGACCAAACTTGGCACAAATACTCAATATGCCCAAATATGAACATTGGCGGAGTTTGGGGGGGGGGGGGGGGAATAGATCTTAACATTAGGGAGTTTTAGTTGCTGGGATTTATAGTTCACCTACAATCAAAGAGCATTCTGAACTCCTCCAACATTGGAACTGAACCAAATTTGGCACGAAGAACTCCCACGATGAACAGAAAATACTGGACGGCTTTGGTGAGCATTGACCTTGAGTTTAGGAGTTGTAGTTCATCTACATCCAGAGAGCACTGTGGACTCAAACAAAGATGGGTCTGGACCAAACTTGGCACGAATCCTCAATGTGCTCAAATATGAACACTGGTGGAGTTTGGGGAAAATAGACCTTAACATTTGGGAGTTGTAGTTGATGGGATTTATAGTTCACCTACAATCAAAGAGCATTCTGAACTCTGCCAACATTGGAATTGAACCAAATTTGGCACGAAGAACTCCCATGATGAACAGAAAATACTGGACAGCTTTGGTGGGCATTGACCTTGAGTTTTGGAGTCGTAGTTCACCTACATCCAGAGTGCACTGTGGACTCAAACAATGATGGATATTGACCAAACCTGACACAAATACTCAATATGCCCAAATATGAACAGTGGGGGGGGGGGGAAATAGACCTTAACATTAGGGAGTTGTAGTTGCTGGGATTTATAGTTCACCTACAATAAAGAAGCATTCTGAACCCAACAAACAAAAGAATTGGGACAAACTTCTCACACAGAACCCAGATGACCAACAGAAAATACTGTGTTTTCTGATGGTCTTTGGTGACCCCTCTGACACCCCCTCGTGACCCCCTCAGGGGTCCCGACCCCCAGGTTGAGAAACACTGTCTTAGAGTCTGTTGAAGATCGATTTCGCACAGTAAACTCAAGCCAAAGCGGAAAAGCTGAGACTTTTTGAGGAGAGTTTCCATCCCGCCGGGGGATACTCACCGTGGTCTCGTCTTCATGGAGCACCTGGTCGTATCCACTCAGCGCGACACAGAAAATGATTGCTGTGACGTCCTCGAAACAGTGGATCCATTTCTTGCGTTCTGACCTCTGGCCCCCGACATCAAAGAGCCTGCGGAAGGAAGGGGACAGATGCAGCAGGATGCATAGATATTACGGATGTGCAAAATTTCGTTTCGTGATACGAGATTTGGGAAAATTCGGTAATCCGGCAGCCGGACCACTGAAAATAGACTGGGCCAGAGGCAGCTGAAGGCTCAGCTGGAACGGACTACATAGTGCCAGATCTTTTGACTGCATTTGGAAGATTTGGCTGCTCTGTGATTGATAACAACAACAGCAACAACAATTACTCCTCTTTGGGGTATTGGAATACAAGGAAAAATAATTGTGCCAAATATTCAGGGCTCTATCTTCCCGATGGGGTGTTCCTGGGAATGAATCATTACTAGTATTCTTTCTGCTTCTATTGAGCATTTTGAATGTAGATATGAGTACGACTTTTAATGGCACTAACCTGAAGTGGAGGTTTTTGAATGTGAAATGGGTTTCTACGATTCCGGTTGTTTTGACCCTGGTTCGAAGGATGTCTTGCTCTGTTGGCTGGTAGTCCGCACCTCCAATTCTATCTAAGCTGTCTAGGTAGCTGTAAAACAAGCACAGGAAGAAAACTTAGGAGAAAACCTGAACATGACATGTTTACATTATCCTAGAAAATGAGGACAAAATCTTAAGATTCATTATTTTGATGCATTGGTGTACACAGCCTGGAAGTAATTATATCTATCTAGTGTCTATCTGTCTATATATCTGTCTATCTATCTATCTATCTATCTATCTATCTATCTATCTATCTATCTATTCTCTCTTCATCCATCTATCCATTTATTCTCTCTCTCTAATCTATCCAACCATTTATCCTGTCTGTCTGTTTATCTACCTATCTCATCTGTCCATCCACCTGTCCTCTATCTATCTATCTATCTATCTATCTATCTATCTATCTATCTATCTATCATCTATTCAACCATTATTCCCCCTCTCCATCCATCCATCCATCCATCCATCTATGTAATCTATCCAACCATTTATCCTATCTGTTGGTTTGTCTTATCTATATATCACTATCATCTATCGAACTATCTAACTAATCTAGTCAACCATTTATCCCCACATCCATCCATCCATCCACTTATCCTATCTGCCTGTCTATCGATCTATCTATCTATCTATCTATCTATCTATCTATCTATCTCACTTCCATCCACCTGTCCTCTCTCTCTCTCTCTCTCCATCCTATCTATCTATCTATCTATCTATCTATCTATCTATCTATCTATCTATCTAATCTATCCAACCATTTATCCTATCTGTCTGTCTGTTTATCTACCTATCTCATCTGTCCAACTACCTGTCCTCTATCTATCTATCTATCTATCTATCTATCTATCTATCTATCTATCTATCTATCTATTAGGCCTGGGTAACAATGGAAAAATTTGTTTCTAAAATCGATTTGTATTTGGGGTTTTTTTTTTGTTCGATATTTAAAATAATTACAAAATTTTCCTTTTAAAAAGTTCGATATTTACGAAATTTCGTAAATGGTAAAAAAATAACGAATCGATTTCCGAAACAATAACGAATCGATTCGTTAATGGCGGACGCGACCGCGAAATACGCTAAAAAACCTCCAAAACCTTCTGAAGCTTCCCTCTCCCTCTGTTGTTGACTGTTGCTGTGATATTATAATTTTTTTCACTAATTAAACCATAAAACTGGCCCAGACATGCGGAAATAATAACGAAACGACCTCAAAACAATAACGAAACGAATACAATATCGAAATACGAAGCATTTACAAAACGTTTTTGAAAATTCGTTTTTTTAAATAATTGCTCCAGAATGGTTCGTTATCGTTTTGTAATTGAAAAAATTAACGAATTATTAACGAATTACGAATTAACGAAACGAAACCGCCCAGCCCTACTATCTCTCTCTCTCTCTCTCTCTCTCATCTGTCCATCCACCTGTCCTCTCTCTCTCTCTCTCCATCTATCCATCCATTTATGCTATCTATCTATCTATCTATCTATCTATCTATCTATCTATCTATCTAATCTATCCAACCATTTATCCTGTCTGTTTATCTACCTATCTCATCTGTCCATCCACCTGTCCTCTATCTGTCTGTCTGTCTCTCAATCCATCCATCCATTTATTCTATCATCTATCTCATCTGTCCATCCACCTGTCCTCTATCTATCTATCTATCTATCTATCTATCTATCTATCTTCTATCTATTTCTCCATCCATCCATCCATCCATCCATCCATATCTATCTATCTATCTATCTAATCTATCCAACCATTTATCCTATCTGTCTGTTTATCTACCTATCAATCTCATCTGTCCATCCACCTGTCCTCTATCTATCTATCTATCTATCTATCTATCTATCTATCTATCTATCTTCTATCTATCTCTCTATCCATCCATCCATTCTATCATCTATCTATCTATCTATCTATCTATCTATCTATCTATCTATCTAATCTATCCAACCATTTATCCTGTCTGTTTATCTACCTATCTATCTCATCTGTCCATCCACCTGTCCTCTATCTATCTATCTATCTATCTATCTGTGGGGTCACCACAACATAAGGAACTGTATTAAGAGTGATAGATTAGGAAGTTTGAGAAACTCTGAACTAAAGGAACCTCTCCATAACTCTGCTACCCAATAGGTTGTGATCCTAACAGGTCATCGTCCGGATCCCTTTAGGTTTTGACCCCAAATGGGGTCTCCTTTGCTCCCGGAAAAAATTGGCAACAGTGAAGATTTTCTGAATGCCACCTAGTGGCTGTTTTAGGCATTTACATGAAACTGTTGCTCAGTGTTTACAGTTGGCTCTGCTCACCAGTATTCAGATCTGGGGGTATTGAGTATTTGTGCCAAATTTGGTCCAATGAATGAAAATACATCCTGCATATCAGATATTTACATTATGATTCATAACAGTGGCAAAATGACAGTTATGAAATAGCAACGAAAATAATGTTATGGTTGGGGGGGGGGGGTGTGGTCACCGCAACATAAGGAACTGTATTAAGGGGTCGCGGCATTAGGAAAGTTGAGAAACACTGCCTTATAGTGATCAAAGGCATATGCCGTCCAAACCTGGCTGCTCAAATATGCAAACCTAAATATTTGCTGCTCTCTTTTTGGTTCCTTTGGGCTTGCAATCGGGGCATCTGGGCTAGAGATGCCTTGGGTCTGATATCCACTGGAGCTCTTCTTGGGTTCTTTATTTTTAGCTCACATTCATTTCCATTTGGTGCGAGCGAGAACAGAGATGAGCTGACACAGGAAGCTTCTCCCTTGGAAGCCACTTCTTGTCTTCTCCAGAGGGCAAACAGTCCACAATTATCCCCCAGATCTCAGATCTAACTTGGCAAACGGTAGCCTTTGGGGAACGGCGTTTGGATTCACGACTCACCGCCTCCGGGAAAGGACTGCGGAGGGACTGGGCCCGACTCGAGCGACCTATTAAATAGGAAAGCATCTCTACCCTGGACCCACTTAACCATCTGATCCGCACCACAAATGCCAGTTGTCCTTCCTTTTTAACCAGGCCTCTTCCTATTTGCTTCGTCTTGTTATTTCAATGTTTCATTTCCAGGAAAGAGTCAACAGACTTGCGTCATTCGAGGAAATCTGCCAATTGTTCCTCTCTTATCCTCGCCCATTTTTGAAAGAAAGCATTGAACAAAATTCTCTCGTGCGATGTGCCAAATGCGTGTATCAATGGGATGGTCAAAGATTGCGGTTTCGCGAGAAAGGACTTGGTCTCGCTCCTTGCAGAGGGAACAAGTGAACTTATCTACCCATCTTGGGAAAGGTCCTCTTGAAATAGCTTAAAGGTCCAAACTCTACGCTGGATGGATGGGAACCTTTATTGAACCAAAAGGTTCTGGACAAATATGAGGAATATATGGGATATATGTATGTTATAACGGCACTCCATGCAGTCATGCCGTCCACATGACCTTGGAGGTGTCTACGGACAACGCTGGCTCTTCGGCTTAGAAATGGAGATGAGCACGACACCCCAGAGTCAGACATGACTGGACTTAATGTCAGGGGACTACCTTTACCTTTACCTTATGTATGTTATAGAAAGGAAGGAAGGAAAAGAATAAAGGGAAGGAGGAGAAAAAGGAAGGGAGGATGAAAAGAAAAAAGGAAGGAAGGAAGGGAAAAAGAAAGGAAGGAAGAATAAAAGGGAAGGAAGGAAGAGAAAAAGGAAGGGAGGATGAAAAAACAAAGGAAGGAAAGAAGGAAGGAAGGGGAAAAGGGAAGGAAGGAAAAAAAGAAAGGAAGGAAGAGTAAAAGGGAAGGAAGGAAGAGAAAAAAGGGAAGGAAAGAAAAAAGGGAAGGAAGGAAGAGAAAAAAGAGAAGGAAGGAAGTGAAAAGAAAAGGGAAGGAAGGAAAAAAGGGAAAGAGGAAGGAAGGGAAAGGAAGAAAAAAGGGGAAGGAAGAGAGAGAGGGAAGGAAAGGAAAAAGGGAAGGAAGAAAGAAAAAAGAGAAGAAAGGAAGTGAAAAAAGGGAAGGAAGGAGGGAAGGAAGAAAAAAGGGGAAGGGAAGAAAGGAAAAGTAAAAAGGGAAGGAAGGAAGGAAAAAAGGAATAGAAAAAAGGAAAGGAGGGAAGGAAGGAAGAAAAAAGGAGAAGGAAGAGAAAGAGGGAAGGAAAGGAAAAAGGGAAGGAAGAAAGAGAAAAAAGAGAAGAAAGGAAGGAAGTGAAAAAAGGGAAGGGATGAAGAAACGAAGGAAGAGAAAAAGGGGAAGGGAAGGAAGGAAAAGTAAAAAGGGAAGGAAGAAAGGGAAAAAGGGAAGGAAGGAGGGAAGGAAGAAAAAAAGGGATGGAAGGAAGGAAGGAAGGAACGGAAGAGGGAAAAAGGAGAGAAGAGGAAGGAAGCAAGGAAGGGAAAGAAAGAAAGATAGAAAAAAAGAAGGAAAAGAGAGCAGAAAAAGGTATATGAGGGAACAGAAGAAGGAAAGAAAGTGCTACAAAGAAAATGCATTCTTAGCCGATGCCTAGTTTATACATTAGTTTTGTTATAAAAAGCAATATATTTCTTTTGATTGGTGGTGCCAGCCCTTCTGATGGTGTCACCCGGTGTGGCTGGCACACTCTGCACATGCTAAGTGATGCCACGGCCAGGGTTTGGCATAACTTGTATTCCCCCACAAAAACATTTTTTCCCAGCCCAGCTTACATGTACTATATCCTTATATGTATAAAGCTACGACTCTATCCTAATTTGCAATTATGCTTCGTTTCACGGGACTTTGTCTACTTGCACTGCAAGCAAGCACTGTTTCTCTCGCCGGTGCCATTTATTATTTTATGGGCACTGATTTTGCCCAATTCTTTTGGTATTTAAGGTACAATATTGTGGTCTGTTATGGAAGGAAATCCATAGAAGTGGCACCATGGTTTACTGCACCAGGTGTCAACAACTTTAGAGATGGTGTCCTGGAGTCCTAAACCAAAACTCCAAGTCATCAATCAGATACCAATCTACGACCGTTGAATGAAAAGTAATGCCTCCACCTTCGTTACTTGGATTTGGATGGG